ACACAATCTTCTAATTGTTTAATATTGAATCAATAATTTGATATTGACATTTACCAGCCAAAGCTAAACGACGTAAATTCTGTAATTTTAATTCAGTAATAGATTGCAATTGAATTAATTGATAGCCATCTGAACTTTCAATAGAATAAATTGTCATATAATTACCATCAATACCACAAGAATCACCAGGTGTATAAGTTCGCGCTGGATTATACTTGGTACGATAATCTATGTTTAGGATTTATTGGTATAGAAAATGGACAATCCAGATAAAATTCAATACCAATAACTAACCATTGTGCATTTAATAATATATTTGATATTTGTTCGATATTATTTTCACCAATAATACCGTTATTATATGCAATAAATTTTAAATTATTTGGTAAATAGTTGACTTTCGAACGCATTGTTTTCATATAATATTGAATAGCATGATTATTCCAATGATCATTTACTAATTTTTTAATAGTTTGTAAATATTTGATTAAAATATTTTGTGATAAATGCATAGGATCATAACGTATAAGTAATGAACGAATAGCTGATGCCGAATCAATAAAACTATTTAATATGGGTTTAGTTTTCATTGTTTTTAAATCTGTAATAAGACCAAGATATTATTGTATTTGATGTATACGTATACGTAATAATAAATTTATAGCTGATTTTGAATCACCATATTCAATTAATTAAATAACAATCACCAGCTTGACGATATTGTATTAATATATCCTTATGTTTATATTCTAATAATAAAGATGAATTATTTTCTCTACTAAATTCTTCATTTTTATAATAATAGGGTGTGGGTGTGAGTCTTCTCGTCATCGTTTTGAAGTTCTTTCTTATTTTAGATCAAACGAAGTGCAGCGTTCGTTCAATGAGTTTATCAATTTCCTTCAACAAATGATCTCAAGCTCCTTCCTCTTTTCTTCTATGTTGGAACGACAATGCGCAAACATGATATTTTGTGGAACTCACATACATTTTCGAAAAACATAGTGGGTACAAGTTTTGTATTCAGGTTTTTCGGCTCCCTTTCCCCCGATAGGCCATAGCAACCATGCGTGGGCGGTAGGTGCTCACAATAACTGGAGGCGAGAAAAGGGGACGGGGCTAAGATATAAATTACTTATGGGGTTACCCTAGTAACCACTCATTAAAGACTAATTAATTATTAATATTAAATATGTTAGTCATTTTATTAATTATTTAATATGTAGAAGGGTGTGGGTGTGGGTGATGTAGGTGTGAGAATCCTTCTTGGAAGTAACAATTTATATACCCGCACCCACATCCAGCAACCCACCCACACCTGCGTTCACCTATATCTGAATAGTACATCGTTCCTTTTACTAGCATCTATCAATATATTATTTGCACAAGAATAGAATGAATTAGCAGGACTCGAAGCTCCTTGAATTACTTCTGCCAAGAGAAATTGTTATAGCCAGATAAACAGTTCGTTGATGAGTGAAAATTTACAAAATTTCATAAGTCAGTTTGAGCCGATATTCCTTGAATTGTTTCGTTCGATAGCGACTACTTTGATTAAGAAGACGAACAGAAAGAATGAGTCACCAATCAGAAAAATACGGTGACTATATACAGTTATATACGATCTTAGTCGGTCATGTAGAACAATCTTATAGCTTCGAACATGTTTGTCATATGAAAAGAGTCCATTTACGTATATATATTCATTTGACCTAGGCACAATGTTGTTCTCTCTCATTCATTCTTGCTTGGGGTACAATGAATATATATATATATTGTATCGGTCATAAACTGATCGTGTGACCTCTTGCACTTAAGTGAAGAAGAAAAATGATGGACAAACTTTCAGTTGAAGTCCTCGAGCATCTTTTTCTATTCATCCATAATCCATTCGATTTGTTGAATGCTCGTTTAGTTTGTCGACAATGGCACGCTCTAATAACAAACGAATATTTTCTCAATAAATACTTTAACAAACGTTATGGAATACAGTCGAAACAATCACTCAAGTGGATCCACTATGATAGTTTGTAAGTTCACTTAGAAATAAATACAACGAATGTCTCATAATAAATGGTCGGAGTTTTTATTTCGTATTTTAATCTCTAAATACGTTTTATTAAAAGAAAAACAGAATGCTCCACAAGCTGTAGCATTCCCTTTTTCTTATTTTATCTTTTTATCGTCTAACAGGTTTTCTTAATATATAATATATAACGCAAGATGCAGTCTGAAAAACTATACAATCTACAAAGCAAGGCTTATTTTAACTGTGTACTGTTCTTTTAAAAAAGTGAATCGATTTTCGACGCTGCGACAATACCATATTTTGTAGATGAACGATGGATTTCTGATTTCTTTTATTATTTCGTCTTTTCGTCATCTAATAAGTTTGGTTGAAGGAAAACAGAATATATCACACAATAGAACGTGAAAAGCTCTACAATCTCCAAAGAAAAGCTTATCTTAATTGTGTACTTTTTCATTAAGAAAATTAACTTCTGTGTGAGCACTTTTTGCAGCGTCGAAAGTTGATCGTACAGAATTTTCTCTTGTTTTCAAAACAAAAATGGCAGAATTAAAATAAGATTTACTTTGTAGATCGCAGTGCTTTTCGAGCAGCACTCTCTCGGATATTATGTATTTTAATACAACATCTTTACAGATTTAAATTCGAAATAGAAAAACCAGCCATTTATTGTATGGCACTCGTTATTTCCTCTTTATATAATTCTGACCTAGTCCTGCTCGTAGCAATATGTCGGTTTCTTTAAAACTCACAGTAAATGTACCCAAGTGAATTGCAACTTTTTGGTACAATTGGCACGGACTATTGAGATTGGACCTAAACGAATTCGCAGTCGTATATTTAATTATACGCTGTCTGTGATAAGCAACAAAATTTTCTCAACACTTCATTCGATATTAGGAGAAATATACGAACTTCCGCTTGATTCAATGACAAGATTGGCTTTATTCATTGAAAAAGCTCGAATCATTTTTCAGCTCTACTGTGAAAGTTTAAGTCAAATCGAAAGACCCCATTGAAGAGTTATAAAGAAATCAATTTTCAGAACGTCACTCTACAAAGTGAGTATGCTGGCCTTTTTTCAGAAAGTCTTGTTATTTTTTCTCAAAAACAAAGTTGATAACACCGTTTTTTCTTATCAATTTGTTACTTAAAGGCTTGTCTTCGCACCACTAGCTTTATCATTGATAGAGCTGAAATCAAGTTTCTATCACTCTGCACAAAAACATACAAGTATCTGTCAAATAATTGCGCAAGTTGGACAAAGGAGAGAACAATATAGAATTTTAATCAATGATATATTATGATAGAACATCGGACGCTGTACAAGATAGCCTCATAATATACTGTTCCTCTTGCTTCTCTATAACCAAAAAGTTCCCTTTTCTTCCTGCATGTCAGCAAAAACGAAGTTTTTTTTGTCATATATCTCTCTCATAACTAAGTGATAGTATGAGCTACAGAGTCGAAATTTTATGTGGTAATTGGCATATGAAGAGGAATAATATACAAAAAAAATGTCCAAGCCATTCGAGAGAAACAGAAATTATTAGTCAAATATATTTAAAACTTCAATTGTCCAAAAAAGTTGCAGTTCACTCACTCACATTTTTGTTTCAATGCTATGTCAAAGTATTTCTTTATCATTCAAATATGCAATAAAAACCTTTCCTTCTTTCTTTTCAAAATTTAATTACTTGAAGACAACGTGATAGTGAACAATTGTTGGCATAATAAAGATTTCAAATAAGAAAATTTTGGATCAAAGCAATTCAAAATAATTTATATCTCATTTTCAGTGTAATTTAAGTAAAAATATACAAGATGTTGAAGTTTTTCAAAATTCATCTGCATTTCTAGCGTAATTAGTGTTAGTGCGTTAATTATTTTTAATTTTTCAACGAAATAACAAAACATGTTTCCCCTACGTTATATCATTGATTAATTAAGTGTATTTCTATCATATTTTATTTTAGTGGTAGACCTAATCGATCATCACCCAATTACACCATTCAATATCCAGCGCCTAAGAACTTGCAAGGAAGTGATGGTGTCATAGTACCTACTAATCATCATGTTTGCACAACTGCTTTTTCTTTCAATAACGATAATTATTCAGTTAGTATGTGGCTTCTTCTTTCCTCTGAATCCGAAGAAATCACATTTCGAATGCGATTCAATAATTTTTCACTTAAATTTATTCTCAATTCGACGTCTATTCGAGTTTTGTGTTCACATGTCGGTGGTCTGCAAACACAAACACGAATAAAAGTATTTCATCGACGTTGGTTTCATATAATATTAACATATTCATCTAAATTCTTATTCTACATTAATGGCAATGCCTATCCGCTTCACTGCACTGAAGAACCATTGAACACAAATCAAATGTTTGAGAGGATAATCGATAATGAACACGATAGATATATGATATTGTCATATAAAGGTTATATCAAGTTTTCTTCCGACGCCGAATTTGCTGATATTCAAGTGTTGCCGTGTGCTTTGACTCCATGGGAAATAACTACAATTGTTGAACAAAGAACTTCTTTCAAACAATTGAATATGGGAATATATTTACTTGATCGTTGGGCTAATCTACATTGGTATTCAAGATATGCATCATACTGCATTCTTTTTTAAAATTTTCTGCTTCGTTTTCATGTCATTAGCAATTGTTTTCTTTTTTTTTCTTCAAGTTCTTTCTTCAAATCAACGAAAATATCATCATTTGTTTCTTTTCGTTAAAAACTCTCGATGCGTGTTTTTCCTTTTCTTTTTGGTTTGTTATGATAGCTTAGTTGTTATGTGTGTGTGTAAGGACATTTTTGATTTAGTAAAAATAAAAGGAAAAGGTCAACCACCTTTCTCTTCTAATACACACCTATACCCACATCCAGAATGGAAATCACTCAGTCCTTTTGAAGAAGCATTCAATATAACTGTTTCTCTATGTCGAACAGTTAAATGTTGATGTTATTTTGTATATTTTGTTCTTGCATTTTGATGATTCACGAATATTGATTAAGTTTAGTTATCAACTCTTAGTAGCAGAACGAACAAAATGACTGTAGAGAATGGCTGAAAAAGAAACTCATGCTTTACATGAAGAATAGTTGTTTCGTGATCTGATAATTGAGGTCTTTTTGCAAAATGACCTTAATTGCTCTACAATTGATTTCACTCATATAACTACTTCGTATCACATAATCAAACAATACCATGCTATGCTATTATTAAATATTGATATGCGTTTTCAAGGTGCGATGCATGAAAGAGAACCATACGAAGAAGCGAAGTAAACAAGCTTATTTTCTTCATTTCTCTCATTATCACCCGACATGTCCACCATATCATGTGAATATTCAAAAGTTGAAATTCCATACTACTGTGCTGCTTTTTTGACTTTCGCTGTTGGATACAACTATCATGTGGAATCTACAAAAGGAAACGAATTATAAAGAGAATAATTGTGTTGTATTAAGGCTTAGTTATCGAAATCGTACATGCGGATCGGACAAATGCAGACGTGGGAGCTATATACTACATGGACAGTGCAAA